CCCCAAGTATGCATTGTGTGAACTCCAGACCCTTCTCCTCCCTCCACCCAGCCCGCTGTCCCTAGCCCCTACCCCAGCAGCTCTGGATGCTGTCCCGGACTTCAAGACCCCTGCAGTCTGGGGAGAGATCACAGAAAAACCTCCAGTGGGGCTGAGGACCAGGGAAAGAAGGGAGGCAACCCAACCCTTGGGGAGATACTGAGAGGGGCTGCCTGTGCCCTGAAGACCACCCACATTTACACGGTACAGAGCACCCATCCCGGAAGCTAGAAGCACACGGAACTGACTAAGGAGGGTACCAGCTCAGATCGCTGCCTGAAAGTGATGGGACTAGGAAGAGGGGCGTGACCAGAGGGACCACAGACTAGGGGACCAGGGCTTCGGGTCACTTACCAGGCAGCTGCTGTGTGACGTTGAGTTCTTTCTGGTACCTGGGCTGTGTGTAGGACCAGATTCGTACCTCGGCCCCAAGACCAGCCTCGAAACAGTCAAACACCGCAGAGCCCTATGAGGAGAAGGTGGCAGAGGGCTGGAGATGGAGGGTTCAGAACCCAGGCCAAGATCTTGGGCTCATGTGGGTGGACCACTCTGCTCACTCATTGGCTCCCTCCCCCTCCTGTCCCAGGACAGTTTCTCTGTGTAGTCCTGACTGTCCAGGGAACTTGCTCTGTAGACCAGGCTAGCCTTGAACTCACAAAGCTCCACCTCCCTCTGCCTCCCAAGTGCTGGGATTAAAGGCGTGCACCGCCGCCACTACCACCCAGCTAAGTTTCTTTTTTTGAACAGGTCCCCCGTTCTAAAGCAGGTCTCTTCTGCAGGTTTGGGATTAACCAGGCTGTCTGAGTTGCTGCCTACACCTGCTGTTGTGGGCCCCTTGGCTAGAGGGAGGCTTATTAGACACACTAGTGCAAGCCCCTCAGTGGTGCTCGTGGCTGCACTGTGAAGTAAACTGAGCTGATTTTAAAAAAAAGTGTGTGTGTGTGTGTGTGTGTGTGTGTGTGTGTGTGTGTGTGTGTGTTGGCATGTGCCACAGCACACATGTGGAGTCAGAGGACAACTTGTTGGAGTTGGTTCTCTCCTTCCACCATGTGGGTCAGGCTTGGTGGCAAGTGCTTTTTTATGCACTAAGCCATCTTGCTGGTCCCCCAAGCAGTTTTCCCCGTCCGTGGTTTCCAAGCTGGGGACCAGAAGCTGGAGTAGCAGGAGTGGTTCTGTCCCAGCAGAGTTAGACTTTCAGCCAGGCGGGCCCTGGGAGGAGTCCCAACACCTGTCCAGGTGCACACACCATGGTCTAGCATGATTCTTTTCTTAGTCCGAGAGTCCAGTGAAGGCGGCCCACCAGCCACCCCTCTCTGGGCCTCAGTTTCTCCAGCTAGAAATGCATAGCTCATGGGAGATTTCAAAACGACAAAAGAAAAGGAAATTAACTTACTAATTCTCTTCACCGCTGGGCATTCCCTGAAGTGTTTTACAGGCACCAACTTATTTAATTTGCTCAACAATCAAAGGAGCTATGACTTGTTTTTTACTCTCATGCGTGTGGGTTTTGCTGGGAATCAAACCCGGGACCTTGAGCATGTCAGGCATGCTCTACCACTGAGCCACATTCCCAGATCTTTGTTCTTATTTTAGAAAGTCACCAAGAGCTTGAAGGGACATTTCATGGAGGAAGTTATAAACAGCCAATAAGCAGGTAAACAGTGTCTAACTTTCTCAGTCATCAGGGGTATACAAATTAAAGCTGTAATGAATACCAAACTCAGTGGCATGTTCCTGTAGTCCTAGCACACTTAGGAGAGTGAGGCAGGAGGATTTCAGTCTAGACCACACAGCAAGATTCCGTCTAATAAAAACCAGGGCTGAGGGTGTAGCTCAGCAATAGACTGGCTTAGCATATACACAGGCTTTGATTCATCCTCAGCATGCCCCTCCCCCACATCCATACACAGAAATCAACAACAAAAACACCAGCACTGGGCTGTCTAGATGCTACCAAGCTTGACAGCCTGAGTTCAATCCCCAGGACCCTTATGGTAAAAGGGAGAAAACAGACTCTAAGTTGTCCTCTGCCCTCCATATGAAGCCCCCAGGATACATACATACATACATACATACATACATACATACATACATACATACATACACAACAAATAAAACAAATATAATTCAGAAATACAAACACTACCACCACACATGTACACACAAATCCCCAGTTACAAACCACGACACACACACAGCTAACACTGAAATTTTAAGATGCCAAGGGTTGGCAAAAATGGAAACAATTGAAAGCCCTATTTGCTGCTGGTGACCGTATGAAATAAAACTGTCCCAGATAACTGCTTAGTGACTTCTCACCAAGCCAAACACGTGGGGCAGGAGTGTCCTCACCCTCATTTTATAGACAGAAAAACCACCACTAAAGGCAGAGAGGGCTCACTGCTCAGCTCAGATCCCGGATCTAAAGAAACACTGCGGGACAGTGTGGCGGGAGTGTGGGATTCAGAAGGTAGCTCAGCAGGAGCAGCATGTCACGTACCACAGACTGGCCTGGCAGCACCAGGGCGGCAGGCACCTGTACCTCCAGCAGCGCACAGCGGGTAGTGGGGTAGGCCTGGAAGGAGAGCACCACCTGGGCCAGGAGAGATGCTGTGGGCGACACACGGGTCAGCCAGGCCGTGGGCTGTGGGTAAGACCCTGCCGAGAAACAGCGGTTCGGCCAACTGGCTCCTCACCGTTTCTAGGCTCCTGGAGTTCCCAGTCAGACTTTTCTTCAGGCTCTTCCCAGGCCCCTGAAAGGAAGAGAAGAGAGAAAAGCCCACATCAGACAGCTGCCCCGGGCTGGTTCAGGCTTCGATTCCCTTCCAGGAATGCCATGGCTGGTAAGCAAAGGCCTGGGAGAGCAGGCTGGCCTAGGGGTGCCTGGGCAGTGTCTTAAACA